GGGGGGGGGGGGAGCAAGGCTCGGCTTCCCCGCCTGGGCTCACCTGTGGATGGAGCGTTCTGGAGAGAGCTCGGCCTCGTAGTAGCCCTCCCTGCAGTCTTTCCCCACGAGGTCGTGGGGGTGCGGCCGGTACGGGGACTCCTTGGTCACCAACGAGATACGAACTTTGCCTGGACCCACGTAGTTATGGATCTAGGGGGAGCAAAAGACAGGCGGGGTTCGGTGGTCGGCTTCCCATCTGGCGCGAAATCCAGATGGGGGGGATTTTACCAGCCAGGATCCGGGCACCACCAAGGTCGGCTCAGACACCGCGTGCGCAGACGGAAACGTGAGCCTGACCACGTTCGTAACAATGTTCGGCTCTGATGGAAACTCTGAATCGGAAGGCGGGCAAAGGAAACCCCCCCCAGAAGGGTACACGGCCCCCCACCTCCATTTTTTCCTCCTTTAAATGGACCCCAGGGCTCTCTAAGAGGCACGGGGGAGATCCCCGAAAGATGTCAGAAGGCGATTTTAAAACCTCGGTCTGAACCCCGACGGGCCCTTTAAAGCCAACATTTTTTTCCCCTCTGCTGTCCGATTGCTAGACAAGCATTTGTAGGAACGATACCTGGAAACGGCCCAGCTCTACTGCAGAGGCAACCTTTTAAAACATCCAATTCCTGGGCTGTCCCTTTCTAATTATTATTCTTTTCAAATGAAACACAAGCTAAAGATCTCTTGGCTGTTGTAGGTTTTTCAGGCTGTAATTCTGGAGGGTTTTTGTTTCCTCCCTAACGTTTTGCCGGTCTCTGTGGCCGGCCTCGAGAAGACATTCAAATCCCCGTTTGTTTCCCTGGTGTCTTCACAGGACACCCTCTTCTCAAGCAAATGGATTTCGTGGCGTGCCCTTTCACTGGCCGCCCGGAGACTGACTTTCCTGCCCCTTTTATCTTGTTCCCGGGACATCGGAGGGCTATAGAACTGCTGTTCCTCCCAAGGACTCTTAGCAAGGTGGCCAAATATCGGCCAAACCATCGACTTCGCCCATCCTTCCCAAGAGGGGGACCGCAGGCCTATTGCGTTCCTAGAAACAGGGGAGTGTTTGTGAACATTCCGTGGCATCCAAGCCGTTGTCCTTCCATTTCTGCCGTCCCATCGCGAGGAAAATATTTACTCAGATGTGCCCCATCTTGTGGGCAACAAAGCCCACACTCAGCCCGTTCCGGGGAGCTTCTGTTCCCAAAGAAGCCTCACGCCAGCCCAGAGAGTGTGCCAAGAGGGTAGGCGGGATGGGGTGGGGGGTCTGACCTTGATGGTGGGGTGGGTCTTGGTGGTATCCGTGCTTCGCTCCCCAGGAATGGAGCCAGCCAAGCGCCCTTCGCACTGGTAGCGGAAACGCATGCCGCGCTGCTTCGGCTGCTCGATGATCTCCGCAAACGGGGTGCTGCTGGGGGCCGGGTCTTTGAGCGAGAGAGTTAAAGAAAGAGGTCGAAGGCGACATGTCAGTATCGGCGAGAGACGGCCCCATCTCGGGCCGAAAAGGAAGACCTGCGGCCGACACAGGTTTCTAGTCCTCAAGACAGAAGGCTTAAATAACCAAACGCACGCGGGTGGATGAGAGCTCACACCTGCTTCGGAAACGATGGCCTGGAGCAGCGGTTCCCTTTCCCCAACCTTGGGGGCCTCCAGATGTGCTTGGACTTCAACTCCCAGAAATCCTGGCCAGCAGAGGGGGTGGTGATGAAGGCTTCTGGGAGTTGTAGTCCAAGAACATCTGGAGGCCCCAAGGTTCGGGAACCACTGGCCTACAGAACAAGAAACCTTGGGCCCAGCCAAGACCCCCCCAAAAAATGGTACCCCTATTTTTTTTTAAGCAGCCGGGGGAGGCATTCATGTGCAATTTGCCCCCTTCAGATCCTAGAGCGCCACCCAAACGCAGACTCTTGGATTCTTTTAAAAAATACCAAAAAAACCCCTTCCGTGGGGAGGGGAGTGATTTTGTTCTAGTTCAAAAAATGAAATAGAGGGCAGCAACCCTCCCCCCCAAAAAACAAGAAGTTACAGTTCCCCTCCTGGCCCCTTTTAACCAGGAATGTTGCCAAGCCTGAGGTCCTGAGTTCCGAATCTCTGCAAGTTTTCAGCACCGCGCCAAAAGGCTAGGGACTCGGGACTCGGAATGCGCATGCACAGAGACAAGGGGCCCCTATGGCTGCGTTGGTCTAGCATAAAGGGTCCCTCCTCCACACCCAGAGGCCATCACCCTTCGCCGAGACGAGCATCGCTAAAAGTGCCTCTGAGAATACACAGATTTCCCCCGTCATCACCTGGCCCGTCCAAACCCAACCTGCCCGTCGCAGCTCCGGGGCTGCCAACCTCTTTCCCCTTCGGCCGAGTAGCCCATATATCCTCCGAGAGTCTTAGCCTCACACATCGGAAGAGGCGGCCCAGAGCAGAAGCCCAGAATCGGTGCTCGGCTCAGAAACCGGGGCATAAAGACGGCGTTCTCTGCAACCGCACGATTTCCAACCCGATCTCGCGAATCCGGATAGAAGGAAAGGAGGCTTCCGGACGGGCAAGGCTGTGCTCCGAGGCCCATTCATTCCCTTCTCGGTGGGGCGGGAGCAGGCGGGAAGTGAACACGCTGGGTACACACTGTACATTCCTAACCGTTGACTATATTTGTTTTCTCCGCATGGCTAGGAGCTTTGTGTGTGTGTGTGTGTGTGTGTGTGTGTGTGTGTGTGTGTGTTTAAAAGCCTCTCCACTTGTTTTTTTTGTCCTTTTCACGCCGCTGAGCTGGAAATTGCTGCCCGCCAAGAGCACCGGTTTCGGACACACCAAACAGCCCTCTGCCAACTTGCGGCTCGAGAGGCGGGAGAGGCGGAAAGAGCGTGCTCGCACTGCGTCCCCCCCCCAAAAAAAACACACGCACACACACCTCTTCACGTTCTTGAGAATTGCAACTCGAGAATTGCAGCCCGGGGGATTTCCCCAGCCCCTGCTTTGAAGCAATACGGGAATTTCTTTTCCAAACGAGGCAGGATGAAGTCAGCCCATGGCGGTCACTGTGCCCATTCTGCCAGGACGGCACACACACACCCCGGCTCCGGCCTCCCCCCCCTGCTTTGCCCGGCTCGGCTGGGCTAACAAAGCCACGTTGACATCACCTACTGCCAGGGGGGGTTCCATCATCCACAGACAGCAGAACAAACCAAAAGCCCTCTACTTTCGGGGGGGGGGGGAATCCCAAGGCAAGGAGCGGATTTCTTCCCACAAAACTCAACGGCTAAAATCCTGTTGCTTAGGGAGTCACCCTAGAGCAGAACTCCCAAGCCGACGCCAAAACCACAGCGCGATCCAGAGGAGGTCCGTTCGAATCCCACTGAACGTCCAGAGACTCTGGACACCCACCGATTCAAGCATCTTGTACGGGGGAGTTCCGCCATTTATAACCAGGTGCCGTGGGAAAGAACGGCTTCCTTTTGTATTCCCACCCGTTAGCTTTCCCAAAACTCTTCCGGCTGAACGGCAGTGAATAATACGGGGTTTATGATATTTCATTCCCCCCAAAATTCCAGGTTTCCCCCTCCCTGGACAAACCAATAAATAGGGCATAGATAAGATCAATGCATCATGCTTTCAAAAGTTCTGTTTTCCTAAATGTAAGAGAAACAAAAACATGGTATGACATCGCCACCAATTTGGGATGGAGGGAATGCACCAGATGGAAGGAATGCATCACCCAGATGCAACCTTTCTGGGGAAGCTCCAAGCACCCTACTAGCAAGACGGGGTGGGGGGGGGAGGATGTATTACTTACCCCAGGTTTGTTGAAAGATCAGTGGTAGGAGATCTGAGGAGGGAAAGGAAATTCACGTTAGCTTTCTTGCAAACGAAAGCATAAAAATGGCTTTTCCCCGGGTTTCTACCCAGAAGGGTAGTGATTCCCCACTTCCCCCCATCTTCCTCCCCAGCTGGGGCTGGCTGCCTTGTGGGGCTAGACCCCACAGAATCGACATAGCCCCCTTCCCCTGCTTTTCTCGCAGCGGTCATTCAGTCGGCTGCAGTAACTTTCCTGTTAGTTGTTGTTCAATGAAGTAAGCGGCATAGCGAAACAGCACTCCTTCAACCCAGCCTCGTATTAAAAGTGTGTCGCATCAGTTGGGGGAAATATTAAAGAATCAGATGAAAAGGGGGGGGGGGTCGGTCTTTTCTCCATCCTCCCTTTTTTATGTCACCACCCACCAAAGTCATCACCTCTGAGAATGCCACCCCTAGCTTCGCTTGGGTGCAAACTAGCCATGCGTACAGGCTACATAACGAGATACAGTGGTGCCCCACATAGCGAAGATAATCCATTCTGAAAAAATCGTCGCTATGTGGATTCGTCGCTATGCGGGGCAAAAAAGCCCATAGGAACGCATTAGAACATGTTTGATGCATTCCTATGGGCAAAAAACTCACAGTTCTGCAGAAATCTTCCATGCGGCCGCCATTTTTGCTGCCCAGTAAGTGAGGAAAAGGTGCGAAAACACAGCGGGTGACCATTTTCTTTACCCGACGGCCATTTTGGAACCGCCAATCGGCTGTTAAAAAAAACATCGCTATGCGAAAATCGGTAAGCGAAACGCTTACCAATCATCGAAAGCGATGTTTTACCATTAGAAACATGGCAATGTGATCGCAAAAAACACATCGCTATGCGGATTCGTCGTTAAACGAATCGCTCGTTATGTGGGGAACCACTGTAATTAATAGCATGCTAACACTGCCAAAAAAAACCAGAAACCCGAGTCCTGGGGACCAGAAAAGTGTGGGACAGCTCTTAAAAGGGGGCAGGATGGGTCAATCTAAATAGAAACCCATGTGAGCCATGCAATTTAGTTCGAACCAAACAGCAATCCAAATACAGTGGTGCCTCGCTTTACGATTGCCCCGCATTACGACGAATCCACTTCACAACGATGGTCTAAATGGGGGAATTTCGCTTTGTGATGATCGGTTCCCTGCTTCAGGAACAGATTCTTCGCAAAACAATGACTTTTAAACAGCTGATTGGCGGTTTCAAAATGGCCACCAAGTAACTAAAATGGCTCCCCGCTGTGTTTAGGGATGGATTCCTCACTATAAAGGCAGCGGAAATGGCCGCCGTATGGAGGATCTTCGCTGGATGCTGAGTTTTAAGCCCATTGGAACGCATTGAAAGGTTTTCAATGCGTTTCAATGGGCTTTTCATTTTCGCTTTACGATGTTTTCACTTAACGGCGATTTTCCTGAAACGGATTGTCGCCGTTAAGCGAGGCACCGCTGTACAGCAGCACCTCCAGATCCACAGGGAATCAGTTCAAAGCCTCCCCTCCGTGGATGCTAAAAAAATTTCAGATTAAAGCAAATAGTATTTTAATAGTGAATGTTATACATTGCATGATCTTTGGCACCTCTAGTGGCCAGTTCTGGTAATAATGATATTGTAGAAATATATTTCTCTACTGAACGCAATACATAGCATGGTCTCACGCTCCCTCTAGTGGCCAGTTCTGATAAATTCATCTTTAGAAATAAATATTTCTAGGATTTAAAAATATATATATTTAATATTTTCAGATGCTGGACAAGTGAATCAGTGGATACTGATCCAGTGGATAAGGGGGTCCTATTGTACTGATCTATATACCCATCTGGGCAGGCCGTTAGTCTCCAAATCAGCATCATCTGCTCAGCTTTCTGTATGCCATGTGGCAGGAACAGCAGAGCCCTAGATTTTGAGATCCTTCCCTAACCTACCTAGAGATGCCGGGGGACTCTGCTTGGGACCTTTTGCATGCACCACTAAACCTCCTTAATGTTCTCTCCTGTAGAAATAAAGTCTATTTTATGCCAACTATTTCTGCCAAATCTTGCTGTACAGTAGAACCCTGCTATCCATGGGGAGCGATTCCAAACTTCCCTCCGGCAAATGCTGAAAAATGCAGATTATAGTGAATGCTGTTTTAATAGTGAGCCCTATACATAGCATGGCCTTTGGCTCCCTCTAGTGGCCAGTTCTGGCAATAACATCATAGCAATATATATTTCTAACGTTTTTAAAATATTTTTAGTATTGAGAGAAGAGAAAATACATCAAACCCACACTTTGCACAGGCTTAAGGTTCACTGCAACAAGCGACAACTCTGCCATCTTTCAGAGAAGGACCAAAACCGAACAGAGACCATGGCCGGTCACTTCAGGCATCACACCAAGCCATGGTTTGTATTAAGCCTAGCCGAGACTCCTAACCACAGTTTACGGCTTCAAAAGGACAAGGTGATCCGAGCTAAGGTATTCTCGAAGGCTTTCATGGCCGCAACCCGAGGGTTGTTGTAGGTTTTTCGGGCTTTGTCTGGGGTACATCGCAACTTTGCTTCCCGGTCACCCAAGAGTGTGAAGTTTGCGGGCTGCAAATATTGTGGTCTTTGAGTTGTACAGTTACTGATAAAGGCCTGCTCACCCTTGACAGAGGTTTTGTAGAAAAGCGGGTCCAAGCTGTTCACACCCTATCAGCTTTTGTGGGGTCTAACCCAACAAGGATTGGCAAAATGAGCTTTTTCCTAACCTTATGTATTTTTTGAGCTGAGTCTTGAAAAATCAATACCTTGTGTTACACATTAAAAATTAAAAAGGGGGAGCAAACCCCCCCCATTGCTGTTAATTTCTGAAAAGATTTCACTTCTTGAAGTAGCCTTCTTAATTTATTACTTACTCAATAAACAGCAAGATTCACAAGAGTCTTAAACCGACTTCCTTAATAATAAAACCGTCTTAGAATTGGAAAGGGGCCCTATGAACCATGGAGTCCAATCCTTCTCAAGGAGGCCCAGTGGGGGAATCGAACTCCCAACGTCTGGCTTCGTAAGCCAGATGCCTAAACTACTGAGCCCTCCAGCATCTGGCAGTTCCTTCTTTACGGACTTCCAATGGGGAATGCTTGAATGTAAATGTATGAAAACCGAATTGTGGTTGGTGAGCGCGAACGCACAGAATTATCGTTAAGAACCACTGGCCTAAACTACTGAGCCCTCCAGCATCTGATAGTTCCTTCTATATGGACTTCAAATGGGGAATGCTAGAATGTAAATGTATGAAAACCAAATTGTGGTCGGTGAGCGCGAACACACAGAATTATTATCCCTAAAGACAGATCTACAATTTTATTACTTACTGTATATACTCGAGTATAAGCCTAGTTTTTCAACACAATTTTTTTTTGCTGAAAAAGCAACCCCCTCGGCTTGTACTCAAGTCAGTGTCAAAATTACATGTCTCCCCTGTAGTGTGGGTGTTCTCTGGATCCCCCGCTCATCTAGGGGCGCCTGCAGCCTCTGTGGGTGGTCCGATGACCTGTGTTAAGTACACTGCATTTCCTCTTCCAGGACACTCTCATCCTCCTCCTTCTGCATATTCTATGTACCCACCCTCAGCTTATACTCGAGTCAATAAATTTTCCCAGGTTTTTTTGGTGGTAAAATTGGGTGCCTCGGCTTATATTCGGGTCGGCTTATACTCAAGTATATACTGTATTTTATTTAAAATATCTTTGACCTCACCTTTCTCCTTAAAAAAAAAGACCCAAGGAATGCCACTAATTATTCTACCAATTCTTAATACAACTCGGTCACGGTATAGTGACCGAACACTGATAGAAACCTCATCCGCTTGTCCAGAAATGAAAAATTAAGCTGGGATGATTTGCATGGCCCTTTCTCCAGGAAAGCTCCCTTACTATGAGACGATCGGCATGCCCTCTGCAGCCGGGATTCTTTCCCCTATCTATTTAATATGCTGCAAATAAAACATCGTATTTGTCCGTGTATAAGACTATACTTTTGTCTAAAATCTTTAGACGAAAAATTGAGGGTTGTCTTATCTACGGAAGTAAGCTGAGGAGAGAACAAAAACAAGTGGAGGGGAAAGCAGGGATCAAAGCGATCCTGCAGCGCTTTGATCCCTTTCCCCCTACACTTGCTAAGCCCCACTTAGATTTCTTAATTTTGGATTAGAAAAGTGGGGGGTGTCTTATACATGGAAAAATACAGTAATTTGTCTATTGACTAAAGAGATATTTAAATACAACGAGCAGTCTTCTTTTACTGCTGCAAACGAGAATTTTGGCATGGACAAGACTTACTGGCGTTTCACGGGCACTTGAAGAAGTCTAAAATAAGAGACCAGGTATAGTTAGCTGTCTTGGCAGCTGAAGTTATTTCAGTTGTACAAACAGGCTCCTATTGGCACAAAGTTTAAATAACTTAGCCATTAATCTGACCACTCCAAGCAGCAGGGTGCCTAGCAATTAAGCTCAAGTACCACGCTTTTCAACACAGAAACTTCCCCTTATAATTTCTCCTCCTCCTTCACCACTGAGCAAGGGAGTGAAAGGAGGAGGAGAAATTATCCCGTCCCGCAGAATAAAACCAGGATGGGGAAAAATCAATGGATTTTTTAAAAAGACCTTTATTTAAATCATAATTAAAACAAAAACAACGTTTTGATTTAAATCTATATTTTTTTTAAAAAATCTGATTTTCCCCCCAAAAATTTAAACCAAGAGAACTCCCATCCTTCCCCATCCATAATTCCCATCCTTCCTGAAACCCCAGCTGAAGTGGCTGCTACACGGAAGAAAGTATACCACACGTCAGAACAAGATTTAATACCCCACACTGCCTGCCTGCCAAAATGATTAATGCAGCATGTACCCGTGGAACCTCCTGCCACAGTAAAGTCCTCTACGTATTACTTGTCTGTAATTCCATTCAGCCAATTGTGAGGATGATGGGGACTGTTGTCCAACCAAGACCGGTGGGACCCACACA